GGGGCTCGTGCCCCTGCTCAGGGGGCCTTGGGTCTGCAGGACTGAGCTCCCGTTTCTGCAGCGTGGCTGGATCACAGCCCGCTTCCACAGACAGCCCCCACAGCGTGGGGCGGCTGCCGGGAGAACAACAGCGTTCCAGTGACCCGACCATTTCTAGAGGAATAGCAGAAGGATAATCAAGAGCCTCTGATGGAGCTCGCAGTGTCAGTGTTAAATAACACCCGCTCACGGCAGTTGGGGGGCAGGACTCATTCCAGAACTATTAATATAGACCCTATTTATACTCCTAGGTTCCTGCGAACAGTGCAGCAGAGAGCTACAGCTGCAGAGCTAAAATGGAATAAATGTCAGCCCCCAGGGAGAAAGCGATCCTTTCAGCCATCATGTGGGAAAGGAGACGGTGGAAGGACAGAAGACAGGGCAGGTTTCAGACCTGAGAAAGCGGAGTGAGCTGATCGTGGCACCCTGAGATCGCAGCCGGCGGGCAGAGCCAGCCAGTCACCTCCCTGCAGCCGGCAAGTCTGCGCTGAGAGGCTGCCAGAAACGCACACTCAGCATCAGGCGCAGCACCTACCGACGCTGGCGGAGGCAAGGCGGGGGGGGTTCGAGCTGCCGCTCTACCGATCCAGTACGAGGTGTGCCTCAGGACGCGGGAGCAAAAGCCTGGAAGGACGTTTTGGGGGGGCTTAAAGTGCATTGTCTGCAGGACTGGGAAGATGATGGAGAGCACGGGAGGGCCATATCTGAACACCGCTGCTGTGACGTCCCCGGTGGGAACGGCTCGTTTGCTGCAGATGACGTTTGGATGCACCACGTTCAGCCTGGTAGCCCACCAGGGGGGATTCAGCGCAGCATACGGCACTTTCTGTATGTTTGTCTGGACCTTCTGTTTCGCCGTCACTGTCTTCATCATCGCCTGCGAATTCACGCATCTGCACAGCTGCCTGAGCATCTCCTGGGGAAACTTCACTGCTGCTTTTGCCATGCTCGCCACACTCATGTCCGTCACGGCCGCGGTGATCTACCCGCTCTACTTTGTCCAGCTTGACTGTTACCCCATCGGCTGTGAGGTGAGAGACTTTCGCATCGCAGCCAGCGTCTTCGCAGGCCTCCTGTTCATTGTGTACGCCGCCGAGGTGTTCTTAACCAGGGCAAAACCGGGACAAGTCACCAGCTACATGGCCACCGTCTCTGGGCTCCTGAAAATCGTGCAGGCCTTCGTGGCCTGCATCATCTTCGGGGCGCTGGTGAACGACAGCCAGCATGGCAAATACGTGGCGACGCAGTGGTGCGTGGCTGTCTACAGCTTTTGCTTTGTGGTGACAGTGGTGGTAGTGGCCTTCAGCGTCACAGGTAAGACCGCCTTGCTGTGGTTCCCCTTCGAGCGCACTGTGGTCATCTACACCTTCGTGGCCGTGCTGCTGTACGTGAGCGCAGCAGTCATCTGGCCGGTGTTCTGTTTCGACAGCAAGTACGGCTCCCCGCGGCGCCCCAGCCTCTGCGCCAAGGGCAAGTGCCCCTGGGACAGCCAGCTGGTGATCGCCATCTTCACCTACGCGAACCTGCTGCTCTACGTCGTGGACCTGGCGTACTCCCAGCGCATCCGCTTTGTCTCGCACCTCTGATATGTGGGTCTGCCGCTGCAAAGCCCTCCCGGCGCCATAAGCGACAGCCGTCCGGGATGCAGCAGGAGACGGGGCGCGGGGAAGAGAGGCACCGATCAGGCATGCGTGCAAGAACCATCAACCAAACTTCAAGGTCAAGACTGACCGGACCAGCACATTAACGACCCGTAGTGGGTGGGCTGCAGCTGATGCTGGGAAAAGCCCACCTCCCCCATCGTTCAACATCTGCCTCAGCCGCCTGGTGCCAGAGCGAAGGAACGATGCAGCTCCAAGTATGCAAAATGGCCTTTCATCTCCAGGCAGCAGAAATGCTTGCTGCAACAGCAGGTCTGCAGGCTACTGGATTACCGAGCCAAATATTAGGAAAGACACCGAGGATTTTGAAACTGTTACCAACGCTTAACCGTAATCGAGTGACTACCCAGGAAGTGGGAAAGTTAAAAGCTGCATCAAGGAACACCAGTTCTGGAGATGAAAAACAATCCCTCAGAGTTTGGGTTAGTTTGGGCTGTGTGGCGAGACATGAAATGCTTGCAAGTGTGGGAAATTGCAGTCAGGATGTTTCTGAGAAGACTATCATAGCTGTAATAGTATTTTGAAGATGATTACCAGTGCTTTCCCTTCCTCTCCTCTCCTTCACTGTTTAGCACAGAAAAAGAATATCCTCAAGCATGCACCTTGGGGGGAAACACAGGATACTCCTATTTAGCAAACACTGAGTCATTACAGAAATGAAAATTTGCGAAATCGGGGCTCTACTGCCAAGAAACAGGGTGCAGAACAGAGCCGAACTGCAAAATAACCGTGTGTAACGACCTCCTCGCTCAAGCAGGACCAGAAGGTACCTCGGCACGTGCTTCGTCTCAGTTCGTATGCCACCGTTTCTTTATACTGATGTCAAGAATTTTTTTTCTGGAAGCTTAAAGATAAATTCTGGGGGGAGGGGGGAAAGGGATGCAGACACGAATTGATCTCACAGCGCTGCATAAAAGACCAAACCGGGGTGGGGGGGCACGGCTGGGACAGGACAACACTTGCATACAGCGGTAATAAATCGGGAGCGCTGCCTCAGACCAGATCAGGCGCTAGGATTCCCGAGCTCTTTGCGTCGCCAACGAGCTGCATTTCTCTGACCCATCCCTGACAAAACACCCACTTTGAAGTCCCACATTGCATAGCTCAGATTTCAAGCTTAATAGGAAGAAATGTTCTTCATTTCTGATCCAGCGAGAAACCAAAGCAGCCTGAGTACTTGTGCAGAGAGCATGCAGACTAGATCGGTTTGATTAAAATCTAAAGTAGCTGACTGTCAGAAGCAAGATTTATTTTTTAACCGAATTAAAATAAAGCTGAATGGCAGACTTACATCCTACATCTCCAGAGATTTGTGTACTTTCATCTTGCTCTCCACACACCTTTTATTTCACCAGACACGGCCCTTCTGCTTTCTGCCGGAAAGCACAGCTCAATTTATTTTGATGTATGAAGCCTGAACGCAGCCCCAAAAAAGTATATACACAAGCCGGCCGAGACCTCTGACTGACATTCTTTGTAGCAGAGTCACTCAGGAAGAAGGAAGGGAACTCACTTTCCATCAGTGCTTTGCATGGGGTTTGAAAAGCACAGGAAAAAATTGTTGGGACAGGTCGCGTTGGATAATTCTGCTACCGGGTAAGAACCAGCCTTTAGCAGTGGGAATTACTAGCCCGTGAAACAGGTGAAGAATCAGTGTCCAGCACAAAGGGAACGCACGGAACAGCCTTCCAAGGCGTTTTCCTCTTCTGCGAGTCCCCACTACGGGCAGGATAATGGTCCCACAAGAGGCTGGCCAGCTGCTTCTAGGGCAAGACCCAAGACTATCCACTATAGACAGAAAACAGGGTGCTGGAGAGCTTTAGTTCTTGCCACCCAAACAAATTAGGGGGTTGTACAAATAAGAAATGCCAGCTTGGGAAAAGAAGTCCATCTGTATTAGAGGAGGCAGCGTACAGAGAGCCATTGCACGCAAAAGGAACCGTGAGCATTTATGATGTATTCTTTTTAAACCCGTCAACCTGGACAAATTAAACTGCGTCACACCTTGAAAATGACTTATTTTTTGTTATTGCAGAGCACTAAAAACCAAATAGGTGACTGTGAACCATCACGGCTTCTGTTACAAAAGTCAAACCTGCAAAACCAGGGCTATTGCTTTACGAAAGCACCTTCCTGTAGGCTGCGGAGCGGCTGCGAGGGGGCGGGTGGAGGCCAGGGAGAGGGACGGCAGCGGCCGGCGCCCCGCGGGCAGGGGCTGCTTGCCCCCAGAGACGACGCTGACAGTCCTTCGGGCAGCGGAGTGTCCGAAAGCTCCTCAGCTGGTTAACAATTTTTTCAGCTATGCATTTGCTTGCTTTCTGCTGTGAAGATTTTGCACCGAGGAGAAGCAGGAATAGGATAAAATCTGTCAGTGACGCAAGTTGATGCAACTTACACAGCGCCAGGGACGTAAAGAAGGTCCCAAGAGACACAGGTAACTGGGAGACAATGGGGGTAAAATGTAGTGCCTTCACAATAAGGAGGAAATAGAATTTAAGATGGAAATCATGACACCGCTGACTGGAGGAGCGGAAAGACAAGTCATTGCCAAGAACAGTGTGTTCAGATTTAGCTTTCTCATCTGCCAGCCAAAGACTGAGCAAAAAATGTTAGCATGGTCAAAATGGCAAAAAAAGATTGTGTGGACAACAATCCACTCTTTTAGGAGAGAGAAAAAAAATCAAAACCTCATGCTTCAGTGGTTAAAACACTCGCTAACCATTGGAAACTATGAGGTTACCCAATCTAGGACACAGAACATGCGATATCTGCTTAATACGATTTTAACAACCAACGCTGTCATGATTCAGTTAATTAAAAAAACCTTCATTTCCAGAGCTCATCTTTCCCCGTAATTAATAAATAATGATCAACTAACTTGTCTGCTGCCATAAAACAGGCTTCCTAGACCACCCATCGTTCTTTTTTGGTAAACTCATGTCAGAACGTACATGTGGTCATTTAGAATTACGGATTTGTGTGTGCAGCCAATCTAGACAGCTCCTAGAGGATTCCAACCTGAATATATAAAAATCTGAAGCTGTAATGGGTTGGGTTTTTGGTTTGGTTCTTTTTTGTTTTTCCCCTTCTCTTTCTGAAGGCTGGGATTCAGTATCCCCAGAAGACAACGTTTAGGAACATTCATCCACAGGAGATGATACACTGGGATTTATTTCTGTCACTAAAGGAGTAAGAAAAAAGCCAAAAGGAGAGGGAAAAAAAAGAACACAGTGTGGTAAGATTACATTTAGGAAAAAAAGCACTGCCTGGTGCCTGGTTTTCATAGCGACACATTTCAAGATGTCTCGGTCTCCTCACAGTCCGTTATTACGGACCTTTGAGCGAAGCCACACCACGGGGCATCTCTCCGAAGCGTGCGTTGGTGCTCCCGCCACGGGTGGGACCAACCGGGCCTCCGGCCCGGGAACGCCCGCACCTTCCCGCGGGCGGCCGCAACACTTGTTGCGGTAGCTGGCGGTTGTGCTGACATAACTTGGCTGGTTACTGGGTTACAAGATTTCCGTCCCGGCTCAAGCGTAGGAAAATCCCTTCCTTCAGGAAATCTGCAGGTAATTCCAGGGAAATGAGAAATCCGCCGCTGCAGATCAAAGGCTGCCCGAGTCGCTCCCCGGCAAAGCAAGAACCTGCAGGGGCCGAAGGGCAGCGCTGCGGGGCCCTGCCCGGGGGCAGAACCGCTCACCCCCGCCTCCCGGCACC